ATCATCAGCCTATCCGGGTAAATGGGGCACTAAACTTGAAAATAATTACTTATAAAATGTTGATTTCCAGAAGAATGGAGCCTTGTACTGTCGTTATTGAGAAAAAATTGCTAACCCCGAGTATTAATCTTTCCCTGATCACGTGTGCGCGTGCGCGTGCATGCGTTTGTGTGTTAATGAAACATAGTGCTCGCAATAATGCTCTGAACATCAGTTAATGATGCTTTTGGATATTATTTGAAGAGTGAGTAAACTAGCCACATTATCACTTCATTATCAGCACCTTCAGTGCCTTTGTTCGTCAAGTGCACGCGTATGTATGTACTGCACACCAACATGACATAGATATCAACCTATTTCACATTCCTATCAACCTATTTCATACAATCATATTTGGTTGTTGCATACATTTTTCTCTTATTTATTTTTTAACTCTCGCTCTGTCAACCCCCTATTCCCCAACCGTGTAGGGCAGCATACCGAATACTAGCATCTGGTCAACCTCCCTGCCTTTCTTATTTCTTGTTTCTCTTTGATTCTTCTTTAGCTGCACAAAATACCCTTAGAAAAAGAAAACCGTAACTTTCCCACTTCTTGTACTGCAGTCAGAGCTCGTTTATCGCGTCAGCAGTAGACGCCCATCTCAGACAACTCCGCTTTGCCAATAACTCTCTCGCAATGCTACCAAGGCCTGCTACAGCATTGCTTGTTACGTTCTCATTTGAAACATGTGCACACACCTCTCTACTTTTTTACCTTGCGTCAAATAAAAGATTGGACATTATGGTCCAAATCCAGGATCCGATTACGAGGAATGCTAACCGACTAACCGAGGATTGTGGGCATCCCTGGTTAGCTACTGTGCACCCAGTGCGTGATGCGCTAGCGTCTCTACATTCTACCCCCCTCGGAATACCTCCACCTTTATAGGCTGTGTGTCCTGTCCTGATCGTCTTCGCCCTCAGACTTGGATGGCTTCGGTCTCGGACAAATTCCGCCAGTTTCAACAGCCGGACACGAACCTACGATTTCATGCACAACGCCGTAGCCAGCCACTGAGCTGCCACAGCGTGGTCTAAGCTTACGTTACGCTCAAGACCGATATTACTTGTTCACGCTGAAATCTGTACGAAATGTCAGAGTTTAATGCTCCAATATCTGCGCGAATTCGCTGACCTGATTATGACGCGCAGTGGTGGTTGCGCTAGTTCGACATCGGATTTAGATAGTCGTTCTCCCATCGGCTGTGGCAAGCTTTCTTTCTCTCTCTCTCTCTCTTTTTTTACAGCGACGTCGTCTAAGCCGGTCCCAAAAGCTTTGAACCATACAATGTGTACGAAAAGTTATCATCATGAACCAGCACGAATTATCTTCGTTCTCATTATAGTCAAGCTGTTTAAGCAATAGGTAACTGGTGCTCCGTCGTGCAACACTCAGGTTAATATGCGTGACAGTACTTGGGAAAACTTTAATACCGAGTCCAAAATAATTTGATGATTGATATGTAAGGTTTAACGCCCCTAATATATGATCATGAGAGACACTTTAGTGGAGGGCTCCGAAAATTTGGACCACCTGAGGTTCTTTAACGTGCTCCCAAATTTGAGCACACGGGATTACAGCCCTTTCGCCTCCATCGAAAAGGCAGCAGCCACACCCGGGATTTGATACCATGACCTGCGCGTCAGCGACTCCGACATGTGCGAGCGTTAAACGAAAACTCGGTTCGGTGAAGTGTAGCAAGTGAAACACGTGAGCGATAGAAAAAGAAAGAAAAAATACAGAGAAAGAGACAGAAAGAAAGAGAAAAAAAGTAGCGAAGGCTACACTAAGTCGCGCAAGGTCTGAAAATAGTGAAGCTGAGTGATTCTGAACTATAGGAAAAATGGCTAATAACCTAGAAATAACCGAACAACTCGCTAAAAGCCCAGCATTGACTTGAACACAATTCCAAGATCCTAGCAGCTACCAAAAGCAACTCAGAAACAAATCATAATCATTATCATCGTCGTCGTCACCCTGACTACGTACACTGCAGGACAAAGGCCTCTCCCATATTCCGCCAGTCAACTCAGTTCTGTGCTTGCTGCTACCATTTTATACCCGCAAACTTTTTTTATCTCATCTGGCCAGGTTACTTTCTGTCTCCCCTAACTCGCTTGAATTCTCTGGAAATCCAGTTAGTTGCCCTTAATGACCAGTGGTTATTCTGTCTGCGTGCTAAATGCCCAGGTAATAGAGAAATGCTCAGAATATAGCCAACCACAATACATCGCCTTCATAGATTACTAGAAGGCGTTTGATTCAGTAGAAATATCAGCCGTCATGCAGACACTGCGGAATCAGATTGTCGACGAAGCATATGTAAACATCCTGGAAGAAATCTACAGGGGATCAACTGCTACCATGCCCCGCCGCGGTGGTCTAGTGGCTAAGGTACTCGGCTACTGACCCGCAGGTCGCGGGTTCGAATCCCGGCTGCGGCGGCTGCATTTCCGATGGAGGCGGAAATGTTGTAGGCCCGTGTGCTCAGATTTGGGTGCACGTTAAAGAACCCCAGGTGGTCGAAATTTCCGGAGCCCTCCACTACGGCGTCTCTCATAATCATATGGTGGTTTTGGGACGTTAAACCCCACATATCAATCAATCAATCAACTGCTACCATAGTGCTTCATAAAGAAAGACACAGAATACCAATGAGGAAATGTGTAAGGCAAGGGAAACAATCTTCCCAATGCCATATATTTGCCGCCTGCTTATACATAAGGTTTTAAGAGGCCTAGAATGTTAAGAGTTAGGGATAAGACTTTGTGGAGAGTACTTTAATAATCTGCGCTTCGTCGATGACATTGCATTGCTGAGTAACTTAGAAGGCGAATCGCAACTCATGATTACGGAGTTAGACAAGGAGAGCAGAAAGGTATACGCCTTAAAATCAATCTGCACCAAACGAAAGTAATGTATACAACCTCGGAAGAGAACAACGCTTCGAGATATGTAATACAGTGCACTGGAAGTTGTAAAAGACTGTGCCTACTTAGGACAGGCAATAGCCGCGGAGCCGAACCACGAGGTTGAAGTAACTATAGGAGAATAAGAATGGGGTGGAACACATTTGGCAAGCACTCTGAAATCATGACAGGTAGATTGCCACTATATCCCTCAAGAGGAAGGAATATAACAGCTGCATCTTGCCGGTACTTAGCTATGGAGCAGATACCTGGAGGTTTACAAAGAAGGTTCAGCCTAAATTGAAGACGACGCAGAGAGACATGGAAAGAAAAATGATAGGTGTAACCTTAAGAGACAAGAAGGGAGCAGAGTGGATCAGGGAAAAAACCGGGATTAAGGATATCGTAGTTGAAAAGTAGCATCACCTATAGCTAAAACCCATAGCAACATTATACAAGCTACCACATTACACATCAGAAATGTCCAGCTTTGATTTTTCAGGACTTCTGCGACTTATTGCATCCTTTCTTGTTATATTCTTCTTTTTTTCTTTTTAACGCACAATGCCATCTTCTTCCCACGGTAAAGGTGAGTATGTTTGAACAAGCTCAAAACGACAATGGTATATGATGACGATGACTCCAAAACAATATACAAAAGAACCGACACGGGTAGTCCACAAATTAATAATGATAATCATAATATTAATAATAATAACAATAATAAATGATCTGAAGAACTGTTCAATGAACAGAAAGAAAAAACTGAACATTCATTAGTAAGTTATTTGTCTAAAACATACCAATGAAGCCGCTTTTCTCGGGCTAAAAGACTGAATACGCGAGGAAAGATCCTAGGATGAAATACTGTTGTTGTCGTTGCCGATACCAGCCCACCCGTCCAGACACGCTTATTGACTGTGTATGCTTCAACTCATAGCGTACGGTTTATCTGTAAAGTTATACTTTAACCACTTCCTTAAAAAAATGCGGAGTGACACACGACACGCTTATTGACTGTGTATGCTTCAACTCATAGCGTACGGTTTATCTGTAAAGTTATATTTTAACCACTTCCTTAAAAAAATGCGGAGTGACACCGAAACATCTGGTGAGTCAAAACGGCCCAAATACGTGTTAGTGCTTCGAAATCAAAGGCGCTGAAGTTTCGGCGCCTTTGATACGGTGCACGACATCGACGCCGGCGGCAAAATCCAGTCGAGAGTTGATTGATTGATATGTGTGGTTTAACGTCCCAAAACCACTATATGATTATGAGAGACGCCGTAGTGGAGGGCTCCGGAAATTTCGACCACCTGGGGTTCTTTAACGTGCACCCAAATCTGAGTACACGGGCCTACAGCATTTTCGCCTTCATCGGAAATACAGCTGCCGCAGCCGGGATTTGGTCCCGCGACCTGCGGGTCCCAGTCGAGAGTGTCCATATAATTGCTATCGCAATAAAATGCTGCCATTGGTAATAGACAGAGCACTTTCCACGCTCTGTGGCTACGCCAAGGCCACTGCTGCAGACGAAAATAAAATATATGCCCCGAAAAGTGGAAATCGGGCACGCGTCGCCGGTTAAAGGAATGAAAACGCCACGGGATGCGGTTTCTGTCATGTAAAATGCATTGTTATTCCCACGTATGAATACAGACATAAATGAGACTCATCCGAGCTATACATACTCAGCCACTATCATGAACTGACAAGTACACCATACCTCAGCGCACGCATATAGCCTGACGCATGAATGTGAGCCGTGCCTTTCTTATCGGTAGATGGGTGTTATAATGTTATACCTTTATACGCAGCCACATTCCAAAATTTTCAACCTGAGACAATGTTACGTCATGTGCGTCTTCAGGGAATGAAGATAAGAAGTACTCGCGGGCAGCGTCTGGTAAAATCCTTCTACATTTATGGTGCTACAGTGAAAGCGAATCCAGCCCTACTAGCTATGCTTCCTTGACGTATACGATGATCACGTGCCTGTTTGATGATACTTAAACGAGACGTTGGACAAAAGTAGTGCCACTGAAAGGTAAACTGTTTCGACGCACAATATGGCCGAGGGAGCCGCTGCCACAACCGATATGCCCCTGCAATCAACGCCCATCATCGGCGGACGGTGCGAAGGCGGGCCCCTTGCACGCGCGTTCTCCGACAGCTTCTGGGCGAACCCCGTGCTACGCGTGCAGGTACGTAGCGCGTACTTTTCGCCGTCTGACAACGACGAAGACCCGGTCCCGCTCTCGCCGATCCTGGCGGCGACCAACGTGACGGCGAGCAGCGGACCCATCTGCCGCATTTGCCACGAGGGCGACCACAGTCTTCCGCTGCTGTCGCTCTGCCTGTGTTCGGGCACAATGGGTCTGGTGCATTTGCTCTGCCTCGAGCACTGGCTCAGCACCAGCGGTAGCGAGACCTGCGAAATATGCCACTACCGCTTCAACGTTGAGCGTCGGCCCCGGCAATTCTGTGAATGGGTGAACAGTGTCAGCGTGCGCCGCGCCTTCTTCGGGGACCTGCTGTGCTTCGGCCTGCTCTCGCCCTTGGCTTTCCTCTGCGGCGTGCTCTGCCTGCACGGCGCTGCGCACCAGGTTCTACAGCGACGGCTATGGGAACCTATCGGCCTCGCTGTGCTCGCTTTCATGCTTTTCACAGTGTACAGCGCCTGGACTGTGCTCACTTTCCGCTACCACTACCGCAGCTGGAGGAAGTGGCGTGTGGCTAATCCATACATCAAGGTGGTAGACACGCCCCGTGATCCGTACCTCACTGTCGAACCTGACTGCAAGGGGTCTAAACCGCAGGACGGCAGAGGCAACGCCGTCATCCCTACCGCCCGCATGCTGCCACACACAGGCAGGAGCACCTTGACCTCTGGTCTCGATTCATCGTTGGAGCTTTGCTCACCGAACACCGTGGCTTCCGGCAGCACTGTGTGGGAGTACCGCACTACACGCCTTTGACATGCTGTTTTTTAATGTAAACTTTTACCATTTTTATTTTGATCACTTATTTTTATTGTTATCACTGGTGCATGACCAACGCACGTGTGGAAAGAAGCGTTTGTTCAATGTAAGAAATCAAGGTACCTCGGAACAGTGCCGTTTTGGAACGGCTCATTTGTTACAAAAATACGCAAGACGCCCGTGGCATTTTCCAGGCGCTTTCTTTTCTAATTCAGTTTTGTTTTTGTTCCTTTTTTTCTGACTGTCAACTGCACAGCAGCACTAAGGATGAGGAGGAACACGAGACTGCGCCCCTCTATCGTTTTTTTTCGCAGGTGTTCTTCATACCGGGTCGAATACCGGGTCATATCGCCTTGGTCGAAATAGGCTACCTGGGACCGTATTCCTCAGAAAGCAGGAACACTATTTAAAAAATGGGGCCCCACTGCTTTTTTTCCTTAAGCAAATGGCACGCATGGTAGCACAGTTGCCGGTAATTACCCGACACTGTTTAACACCTCTGCGACACTTGCTCAGCTTCGTGAATAAAAACACATTGCTGACAATGTCGCGGTATTTTTTAGATACGAACGATCTCTTGCTCGGGCCTATGTTCCGCGGTGGCGTCCGCACTTGCAATACGCAGGCGCAACTCTCCTCCTTCCCTCTCTCCAACATCTGCGCGTTACTCTCCACTTCTCTCCTACCACTTGCTTGCACTCTCTCCCCCTCCCTCTCTCGGCATCCCTCCCAGTGGCGTTAACACCCCCACGGCGTATGCGCGGCCCTTTTCTCCTGTCTTACGTTCCCATCTCTCTCGCTTCTCAATGAGACTCGGGGTGAGCACCTATGCTCGCTCCCTCATTTCCACTAGGAATTCATTCCCGTGGTGTTTACACCTCCATTGCGCATGCGCGTACACCTCTGACGCCTCGGAACTCGCACGCAGTCAGCCTGTGGCTAACGCGTTTCTCCATTGCAAAACCAGACTATATACGGGGTGGCCAGAACCGTTCACTGGCCACCCCGTATAGAAAGGCACTGGATCTTGACCTCCAAGTGAGTGACGGTGGGAGATTTCTCCTCTGCGTTTTTGAACAATAAAAATTGGCAGCGTGTGCGTCAACTGAAAGCGGACTGCGGGTCTCTGAGTGCAATGGAGTCTTTTCTCTCATTGCCCATTAGCAGCGATCGGCATGTTTCAGTAGGGAACACCGATTCATCACTGCATGCTTTGCACCTCCCCAGGTTTTTCTCGTGCGCAACGCTGCGATGAGCGCCAGCGTTGACGCCGCCGCCAGTGTAAGCGTTGGCGCCCGCTGTTTCGCATCTACACATGGTTCAATTTAGCGGGAGATGGCGTAATTTTTTTCGTTTTATTTGCACGCCCCGCCGCGGTGGTCAAGTGGCTAAACACTCGGCTGCTAACCCGTGGGCCGCGGGATCATATCCAGGCTGAGGCGGCTGCGTTTTCGCCAAGCCAGTGTGCTCAGCATGTGGATGCACGTTAAGGAACCCCATGTCGTCGAAATTTCCGGAGTCCTCCACTACGGCGTCTCTCATAATCATATGGTGGTTTTATGACGTTAAATCTAACATATTATTAATATCGTTTCATTCGTACTCATCGCTGCTGGTATCTTTGGCCACCCAAACTCCTGAGAACGATGTTAAACGAAGTCGAAGAGCGAGTTTGGCGGCGTTGACTTCCGCGTTCGTCTTTTTGGTCGAGAACATGCTTGCCTGATGCATCAGTTCAGCAACCTTCGCGAACGGTTGTTATCTGAAATAGGCATATTATTCGGTTCATTCACCTTTGATCTATCTGTTCCGGCTGTATTGTACACGTGTTGTAGGGAGAGATATATTCCTATGGAACTCAAGTACTATTACGTTATTGACCCGCCGCGGCAGTCTAGTGGCTAAGGTACTCGGCTGCTGACCCGCAGGTCGCAGAATCGAATCCCGGCTACGGCGGCTGCATTTTCGATGGAGGTCAAAATGCTGCAAATCCGTGTGCTTAAATTTGCGTGTACGTTAAAGATCCCCAGGTGATCGAAATTTCCAGAGCCTTCCACTACGGCGTCTCTCATAATCACATGGTGGTTTCGGGACGGTAAACACCATATATCAACAATCACCATTACGTTATTCAAGAAAAAAAAAAACGCCATTTTCACTCGCAGTTGTGCTTTCACATTTCTCTTCCACAAACATAGCATTTAACGCGTGTGTGTCATGTCATTGTTTCCCGCATCGCGTAGAGGTCTTTGGCGTGCATTTGTGTGGCCGCTGTAGCACCACATCTGCCCGCCACTGCAATGCTAGTGCACACAATGTGACAGAGACCTTACATTCCACCCTGTGTCAACACCGAATGATGTGTCAGCCCGTATTGCACTATCTCCAGGATTGGCCCCTATATTGTGCTGAACGAGGACAGTGAACTACGGCACGAGCAAAATTATCACCTACGTGCCACTTACATATATATTCGCTGATAAAGGCACGTTTGTCTAACAACAGTAATGTTGCCGCTGCGTGCGTGCGTGTACTCTTTATCTGCACTAGAACCGATGACATATTAAGACGGCCACTTAGCCACCCTTACTTACTCGACCACGCAAAACGGGCACCAGAGATATACCCTACTTTCCTTTATTCTTGATTTATACTGCGCAATAATTCGTTTATTATGTCGCATCTTGTGGACACAGCGAAGCAACGCGCTAGAAAACTGTGATATATATAATTGAAGTCATGGTAAAACAAGCATTTCTTTTAACACTTGGAGCAAAGGGATCTTCTAAATAAAACTTTGACTAAATCTCTGCACAATCTTGTGCATTTTTGTTTGTATGCGCGTCAAGGTCTCTAGTCGATACTCGTTTGCCGCTGCTTCACGCAAATTGTAAAAGAATATGGTCGCCTACCACATGCAGTTGGGAAAACGCATGTGATACACTGAAAGTCTCGACGATTTGGCTGCTTTTCCGAGCCAGTTCTCGATAGCACTTTACACCATGGTGCGTCAGCTTGGGCATTTTTTAAGCGCAGTCCATTAAATAAACAAATAAAAAAACAGAAAAACAGACGAAAAAAACGAATTCCAAGAGACAAGCACATCGTCGAAAAGAATTTAACAGCTTGCTTGCCTTCATAACGTGCGGTGAAAGAGGCATCAAAATTCTAACAATCTGACGACAGCAAGAGTGTAATTGCTGTAAGCAAAGCAGCACCTAGTGACAATCAACTAGTGCTGCGCTATGCATGGTCTACTTTCGCGTCCATGCGCGTCACTGCCTTCTTAAGTGACGTGCAGGAGAAACGTTTACTGCTCAACTCGCCTCGTACTATGATAAATAGAAGAGCGTGATGCACAGTCAAATTGAGGAAAAAATATTCCGCCCTTCCTGAACTCATCGGTGAAACTTTGGCTACGCATTGTGCGATGTGAAGCACATTAGTATATGCCATTGTTCAGGCGTCTACCTTGAGCGATACTTCTACTGTACAGTGTGCTTAAAAAGTACTTTCTCGTGAACGAATGCGTCCTTTTGATGCACGCTTTTATCTGCTTGTAGGGAGAGTCTGGAGGTTTGGGTTAGTTGGAAGAATGAGACAGCTTGCCTATCTTTCCTGCACTTACATCAATGACGTTTTCAGCCTCGGTAGAACAGGGAATACTGTGCTCAACTGCTGACCAGAAGGTCACGGGTTCGATCTCGGTCGCGGCGGTCGCATTCAAATGTATAAGTGAAATGGTAAAAGCCCGTATACTGTGTGATGCCAGTGCACGTTAAAGATCACCAGATGGTCAAAATTTACGGAACCCTCCGCTACGGCGTCTCTCATTATTATGTGGTAATTTTGGAACGTTAAACCCCAGGTAGTATTATTACTTCAAAGAGGTTCGCAAAGTACATAGTTTGATGCAGCTAGCATACAGATTGCCTGGCTGTAATGACGCGCATCTTCCACGAACTGAACTACCTTCAACTGGAATTCGACTTTTTCACGCTTCAAGAGCAAGTTTCGGCCATTTGAATTTTGACGCTATCAGATTTAAACCACTTTGGGACGCTCATGTCATTTTTTTTTGTTCGAAAACACGCACTGTTATTTTTAAGGCTGATGGTTTAGGTAGTATACAATTGCACTTAAGCCGCTGAACGTTGTTTACTTTGGGCAACGTAGCTTGAGAGGAATGGGGCTGTTCACTTAAGAGAAAAATGGGACACACTTCCCCACAGAAAGGATGGTGCAGCAAAAGGCAAATCAGCTGCACGGTTAAGTCACATTTGTCTAGAAGCCAGTTATAATAATGATCGATGCCGTGAAGATTAGATTAGAGAACAGACTGACTGGACTTCAAGTTTAGATAGGTAAGCTGCTTAGCGTTATAATTCACAAGTCTCTTTATTTAGACTTTTTATTACACATTTGTGAGTGTTCCGGCATGAGAACGTGAATTGTAGGGTACAGCAGGAGTTCTGTCAGTTGCCTCATCGGGTTGAAGGAGTGTCGCAAATGAGGAGAAACAAATCTCAAGCTACCTTTTTGTGTGAACACATGCATTTTGAAGTTACCACTATATTTTCATTTTCGAAAAGATAGCTAGTGTATAGAAGAGAAGGCATCTAGACACGCCTAACAGATCAAACAGCGTTAAAGTACCCAGGGGTGGAGGTTAAAGTAGAAAATTCAGCTCTACCCTCCTCCCTTGGAATTTCTCATGTTTGCATTCGCCATCCCCCCCATCACCTGACAAAAAAATATGGCTTCACCTCTGTCACACAGTGTGATACTAGGTGATCTGAGATTAGTATGCAACAAAAATGATGGTAAAAGAGACATGCCTGGGGTTCTTACAATATAAAAAAATGTAACTTCAGCGAGCAGCGATGAAGTTCAAGGACTGAGGGGGCAGAGAGAGCTCCTTATTCAAGTCTTATTTGGTCCATGGAATGATCGCCACAGTGAAGCAATCTTGAACGAATAATTGCTGATGGTAAAAAAAATGCATCATCGTTTTACAAGAATTCAGGTGAGTTCATGAATGAACCACTTTGCAACAGACTTAAACTGGAAGTACTCCACGTCACGGGAACTCAGCAAGTTAGCAGAAAAAATGCTGGTTGATGTTCTTAGAGACCACCATCCTGAGCTATTACTTCAGTTTTGTACTCCGAGGCAAAAACCAATGGCACTCAGAACATATCCACGGATATTTTAGCATGCACTGTCGATAAAGCAGCCTTGGCATCAACTGCTTATCCAGGCACTATTGCTTCAAGGAACCTTATAGGATCCTACCTTACTGTCACGTCGCATTACATGCACCGTGAAAAATATGAGAGAAAAAAAGCAAGGGCAAAAGTCGTTACGTGAACACCATGTAACCATAACATGCACACCATGTGACCATATGACTAAAGAAAAAATTGCAGAAGTTAGGGCCACATTCTTAAAAAAGAGTGCAACGCAGTCTAGACTTGCACCATAGTCCACGTAAAAAAAAAATGAAATAAAAACTGGATATGATGGTGGGCTGCAGCTTTTCAAG